AATGGAATCTACTGTCGAGATTATGTTAAGAGCTACCTTCTACCAAGGTCTTCTAGAAAATCATCTACCGAGATTAACCAGGGGAATCTACTGCCGAGATTCGGTTGACAACTACCTTCAGCTGAGGTGTTCTTGATAATCAACTGCCGAGATTAACTAGAGGAATCTACTGTCGAGGTTCTATTGAGAACTACCTTCTGTCGAGGTCTTTTGGATAATCAACTGCTGAGATAAACCAGGGGAATTTACTATCGAGATTCGATTGAGAGCTACCTTCTGCCGAGGTCTTTTGGATAATCAACTGTCGAGATCAACCAGGGGAATCTACTGCCGGGATTTGATTGAGAATTACCTTTTGTCGAGGTCTTTTGGATAATCAGTCGTTGAGATTGACCAGGGGAATCTACTTCCGAGATTCTTTGTAGAATAGATAAATTGATTGACAATGATGATTGTCTTCACATGAAACATGGTTTTATGCTATGCGTCTACATTTTGATTGATGCATTAAATGTAATGATTGATTGATGCATGTAATAAGTGACTTGGGTATGTAATAATGGATGTTGGATTTTAAAATGCTAATGAGTAATTGGGCTTTTTGAGATATGCTCGATCCATGCTGTCATAATTCATCAGATGGATGAGATGATAAGTATATCTTGATTCTGGATCGAAGAGCCCTAATGAATGATTTATGTAGCCTCGTATGCTTTTGACGGGTGACCTTGTGAGGGATCGCAGATGGTTAAGACGTAGAGAGGTTGCCTATGTAACAAGGATTCTTGTCCCATGATAGTTGGATGTTATGCTAACATGATTTCCTGACACTTGTTTCGAACTCAAAGATTGCTGATATGGGAGGAGAGTTTCACTGGGGATAATGAAAGTACAGAGAGAGATTTCCCCTTTGTGGAGGGTCTCTCCCCAATATGTTAGGTCTTAGAAGAGATTCTCCTTGATATGAGATTGAAAATAGTTTGATCATAGTATGAAAGACCTAACTATTTTTCACTTTAAAACATCATGCCCTTGACTAATGGGCTCTTGGATGGTTTTCTCTTGACGAGCTATTTTTTGAACCAATTTCTTCTGAATGAGCCTCGTAGCGGTATGCCTCAAAATTTGTACTTCTTGAAAGGTATGCCCCCAATCTCCATAATTTGGAGGAGGTACTCTTGGATCTGCATGATATAGGTTTGATATGATTACCTCAAGTATTCGAATCTTACGGAGTTTGTATCTAAAGTCGCTTGAAGGAGAACTTGAACCCTACATTCTGTAAGGTGAACTTGATATGCACTGCCCCAACATTTGAGTCTTGAAGGTTGTCCCTTGATTATTAGAGCCTTGAGAAGTGGTCAAAAGAGGGAACCGAGTCCTACCATGTTGTGATATGAGCTTGATTTAAGAAATGCCTTTTCAAAAAGTATGCCCCTGATTGAACAATACTTTTTGAAATGTGACCCAAGTTAATTGAAACTCAGATGATCACCCCTAGTCAAACATGATCTTCACGTGATATGCCCCTACGATCATTAGTCTTACTTATGACTATAGGGTTCTTCTTTAGATGCTTTGTCCCTAGTTAGGATCTTCTTGGAAATGATCGCTTTTGATTAAACCAATTTTTGAGTTATCCTTGATGTTAAGTATTGATTCGTATATAAAAGCTTAAGCTTTGAAAAGTAGTTCTTAGTAATGCACATGCAATTTTTGAAATCGAAGTTTGAATGGAAATGGATGATTAGAGATGGAGATTCAAAGAGGTGAAGTGGTTAGCAATAATTTTAACAAACATAGGAGTCATTTTAACATAAATTTTTCCGAGTATGCTTTCATAGTTAACCTTGCAGTTAGTGTGGTAAGCAAGATCTTAAATTATCCTTATCAGGAACACATGGATGATATTATTCGGATTTTGGGATACATCAAATATGCTTCAGGAAGAGGTCTCATGTAGGAAGATAAAGGACATACTTAATTAGTTGGATACTCAGATACTGATTAGGCAGAGTTGCCCATTGATAGATGATCCAACTCTAGGTCTTGTATACTTGTTGGAGGAAACCTTATATCCTGGAAAAGTAAGAAACAAAATGTAGTTGTAAGAACAAGCGTTGAGGCAAAGTACATGGCCATGATAATGGAAACATGTGAACTCATTTGGTTAAATCATGTGCTCAAGGAACTTCAAATTGAAGAAGCAAGATCAATGACACTTATTTGTGATAATCAAGATGTATTGCACATTGCTTCAATTATAGTCTTCCATGAGAGGACCAAACATATTGAGATAGACTGTCACTTTGTCAGAAAGAAGATTGAATCAAGCGACATTGTCATAAGCTTTGGCAACTCTAACAATTAATTGGTATACATGTTTACAAAATTCATGTGAAGTCCCAAAACTAATTATATATGTGACAAATTTGGCACATTTGACTTATATGCTCAAATTTGAGGAGGTGATAATATTGGTATATACATATATAGAGAGAATATTCCATAGAATATTCCTTAGTCTGTTCTATAATAGAATAGAATATATCTTAGCATACTTCTTATGTAATTAATACGATGAATTGTATATTTGACTATATAATTCAACTTCTATAGTGCTTTTCAGACACACGGTTTATTCAAAAGTCTCTAATATCTCGTATTTCAACACCATGCATCAATTCACTTTGAAGATGATATGCAAAGCAAATCATTTTCATTGTAGGAACCATCAAACTAAACTATATTTGTGGAACTATTATTTCCTGACTTGTTTGGACAATCCCTCTTCTAATGAATAATTTGCTTGCAACCATAACATTAAGGTGTTTTTCTTTCCTTGAGCTTGAACCTCTTTTTCGTTCTGGAACCCTTTGCCTTACCCTTGCCTTTGCCACCATCTTGACATCCTTTCACAAACAAACCTTCACCCAAACTTCCTCCACATTTCTCTACACTTTGGTGACTTTGTGTGTGTTGCAAAAGGGTAGAAGAAATAAAATCCAGCGTGATTGTTTCCTTTCTATATGTGAAAATGGTCACCAAGTGATCATAAGAGTTTGATAAAGAGAAAATCTAAATAATAATTTTATCCTCATCATCAACTTTCACACCAAGTCGTGTCAAATCAGTGAGGATGCATTGAAAGCGTTGATATAAGCATGCACTTCACCTTCTTCTTGCATTTTCAGGCTATATAGGTGCTACTTTGCGAACAATTTGTTCATGAGCGTCTTGGACATGTATTGATTTTCCAATTTTATCCCAGACATCCTCCAGAGTTGTAAGGTCTAAGATATGATTCATCACGTCATCAGAAACACAAAGTCTTATCAAACATGTGGCATTCTCCTTCATCTTGTTCCAATCAATGGTTGCAAAGTCCGTCATTTCTCATCACGAAACGCCTTATGTAAACCTTCTTGAGCCAAAAAAATCCTTAAACCTCCTTCGCCATAAACTAAAATTACCCGTTCCTCCGAACCGAGTCATTTTGAGTTTCGCACCTCCAGGATTAAGCGTCATTTGATACCAATTGTCAGACCATAAATGTGAATAGATATTAGAGTAGAGAGAAACACACAAAAACTATGTTCACGCAATTCAGCCAAATTGCATATGTCTGTGACTATAAAGCAACTATAGTTTTGCTCATTGATTTGTTCTGAGTTTACAACTTAAGATTTTACTGTTACAAACATATATATGAATATTAATAATCTGATTATAATAATACCCTAAACCGCTCGGAAGAGCCAAACTCAACAATATCATATTTTGTCTTAATCTAGTCTTTGATGACACGTGAGGATAAGATTAACTAACCATAATACTTATTTGTCTCATTTTAGGGTTTGATGACACAAATTGATACTTATCCTCTTTTGTCTCTCAAGTATAAATTTTTATTTTGAATTTGAAATGAATTAAAAATTAAATGAATTACTAGTTTATATCTATAAAATATAATTTAATATATAAAAACAATAATTAAATATTATATCAATAAATTAAACTAAAAAATTTAACCACTAAATAAAAAATAAATAATTAATAACTATTTTATTAAAATAAAGTATTTTAAAATAAAATTATAATTAAAAGTGCCAGAATAATACTACTAATTCGAAATTTTAAAATAAAATATATTTTCTTACTAATATAGTTTTTTCATTTATATATAATATATATCATTATTATATGACATATGTAACATATATAATATAATTGTTTGTCTATTTACTATTATTTTAAATTTTAAATTATTTATTTATTAGTATCAATGAATATTTAAAATAATAATTTAATTTGTTTTATTATTTATATAGTTTATGATGTTTATTTATTTATTAAATTTAAAAATTGTTTAAAATTAACATGATTAAACGATTAATTTAAATATATAATTTTTAAAAGACTAATTTATTATTTGTAATTAATATTTATCTAATCATATTACTATTAAATGTACATCAATTACATGAAATAATAAATAATGATGTTCGTGAGTCATACATATGCTATACTATTATGATATTATCTATTCCATCACTATTATATTTTATCTTTATTCTTTTTTTTAGTAAGCACATTCAAAACCATTCCTACTGGAAAATCTTTAAAAATATTCCCACGTTTAGGAGGACAAAAGAAAAATCTCCCCTTAATTTTTTTCTATTTTATAACAATTCCTTAAATAATAACAGAAAATTTCATAAATATACTTAGTTAACAAAGAAGCACCGTCATGTGATAATCATAGGTTGCGTTTACACATGGAATTGGAAACCATATAAGTATTATTGCATGATAAGCATATCCTGTTACGATACTCTACAATTTTGGTTTTTTACTTTTAACCTTTTTCTTCTCTTTTTGGACTCTTCGATTTCTTCCTATATATACATCGATCCATTAAACCATTCCATAATTGTCACGCTCATTCAACACCATAAAAACCACCATTAACCCTTTTTGAGAATTACATCAGTCCAAAAATGGAGTCCAGAGGATCAATTTTAATTAAGCTTCTCTTGCTTCTTCAGTTATCAGTTCTATGTCTTTCACAACAAGATTTTGATTTCTTCTACCTTGTTCAGCAGGTAACATAAAATTCATTTCAATAATCATCAACATGATTTCAGTCACTATGTACATTCTAATAAGAAATATGGTTTTTGCATTTGTAGTGGCCAGGATCATTCTGTGACTCAAAGAAGAGTTGTTGCTATCCAACAACTGGTAAACCTGCTGCAGATTTCAGTATTCATGGTTTATGGCCTAATTACAAAGATGGTACTTATCCATCTAACTGTGATCCGAATAGCCCTTTTGACCAATCCGAGGTACTTTTTCATTCTTCACTAATTATATATTTTTTATCATGTTTTCATTATATACTAACTAGTGTTTGTGTATATGACTATTTCAGATATCTGATCTCACAAGTAGTTTACAAAAGAACTGGCCCACACTTGCATGCCCTAGTGGTGATGGAATTAAGTTTTGGACACATGAATGGGAAAAACATGGAACTTGCTCAGAATCAAGCCTTAAACAGCATGATTATTTTGAAACAACTCTCAACTTGAAACAAAAATCCAACCTCCTTGAAGCTCTTACAAGTTCAGGTAAAATATCCATAATTTTGTTAACTTAAGGACAAAACATAGGTTCTAATATTGTACATAATTGTGTGACATGTTATTGCAAATTACTTATGAACATTGATTTTGTGTCAGGAATACAAGCTGATGGAAATTCCTACAGTTTGAGCAGTATCAGAGGAGCTATAGAAAAGGGAGTTGGGTTTACTCCATTTATTGAATGCAATGTGGATCCATCTGGTAACAGCCAGCTATATCAAGTGTACTTGTGTGTGGATACTTCTGGATCAAACTTCATTGAATGTCCTGTGTTCCCCCGTGGAAAATGTGGATCTGAGATTGAGTTCCCAACTTTTTAAGTATCACTCTTTTTACGACAATAATATATCTTAAATTTCATTTATGGTATTTGTTTACATGTTGTTCTTTACATGTATGAAATTACAGTTATAATTGAATTTAAAACCGTGTTTGTTTTTTAATTGAAATTTTATCTTACAAATGAGTTGACCAATCTTCTTTAGTCCATCATGAGTTTGAAACTGTGTGCGTGTGTAGCATAGTGATGAAGATTTGGATTTTGAAGATGTGCTCTTTTCAAGTTCTTACTTTCGAGTTCTGTTAAATACAAATTGTTTATTAAAAAAAAATGCATAGATTTATTGAAAAACTAGAATAAAATAATACAAAACAATATGAAAGAAATAAACCTAATAACAAAGAGAATGGATATAAAGGATGATAGATCAAGATTTTATTGTAGAACTTTATTGAGGTAAATCCAAATATTACAAGCATATTTGCAATTTAATATTAAATGCATTAAATATGGCAAAATAATATACTAATTAAGGAGAGAACCATCAAAGTATAAAAATAAGGTTTTATTTAACACAAAGAAGTGCAAAAGTACTATAAGAAAACAAATAAAAATATAAAAGAAAAAACCCAACAACTAGCAAAACAACAAAACATCATAGCAGGCCAGAAAAATCCTACCGATAAAAGTCTAAGCAACTAAAAATCCAACCCCTTAAAATTCAGGCTATAACTCAGTCCGTAAAAACCACTATCAACAAATTACAACCCATAAAGGTAAAAACAAAACCACAAACCAATATCAGTTTCAGAACTAAGAAAAATACTCGATTCACTATTGGTTAAGATAGATGATTGAATTCAAAAGTTTGTAAGTGTCAAAATTACGTAAAATATATAGGAAATTATTAACTTATTTTACAAGTAATCGATAGAAAAACTCCCGATTTATCAATAAAAAGTGATAAAATACATGTCTGAACATTTTACTTGCACGTTAATAAAAAACAGGTAAAAAAAGACTGAAAAACTACCCATCAACATACAAAGACCTTGCCAGAGACACTTTCCTACAAACTAGGATTGCTAAGTCAAGATCATGGGCGCGCTTAGCGAGCACAAGCGGTAGAATACTTTAAGGCTAAGTTACTTCATGATGAATGAAGGATTTGTGTGCTAGTTGAAGATGAGTGATGCACCTAACGAGATATGGCAACTACGGCAAGTTGCAAGGTGAGGTGACATTGCTTAACAAGGAAGAAAGTAGTCGCGTTAGGCGAATATGGGCGGAGAGCCTAGCGAGCCTACCTTTTCTAAGCCTATAAATATGGGTGTCATTTTTAGTCCAATGGGAGTTTCAGCGGATTCAAGGTGGTATAGGGAAAAGTAGATTTACCTTAAATCTCAACAAGAGAGAATAAGGAGATGAAGATTGAAGGCGAAAGCACTGCTAGAGGAATCGATGAACATGTTGTTCACACTCTTTCTTTAGGGTTTAATTGTAAAGCTACAATAAATAAGCATATCTAATTCTCTTTTGCTGAAGTTAGGTGTAGTCATCATTATGATCGTGTCATTTTATGTAATTCTACTTAACCTTTAATATTGACGATTCTTCATTCATAATGCTTGTTTTGGATTAAATACTTAAAATGTGTTCTCATGGTATGAATTAATATTTAGAGACGTTGATCATTACTAGATCCAAGTCTCCATGAGTTGGATGCTAATGTCTAAAGATATAGTCAGGTTTGATATACACATGAATAAAAATATTGGTGAAAGGGCCCATTGATATCTACATTCTCTATTAAAACTTAGGCTTAATTGCAACTATGGTCCTCCTATTTAGCTTTTTTCTTGATTTTGATCCCCCTGTTTTAAAAACCACCATTTTAGTCCCCTTTTTATGTTTTCTTTTGAATTTTCGTCCCCTCATTTTAAAAACCATGATTTTGGTCCCCTTTTTTAAGTTTTAAGTTGCAATTTTAGTCCCTTTCTAATTCTGGTGATGATGAAAAAGGGACCAAAATTCAAAATAAAACTTAAAAGGGGACTAAAATTGCAACTTAAAACTTAAAAAATGGACCAAAATCATGATTTTTAAAATGAGGGGACGAAAATTCAAAAGAAAACTTAAAAAGGGGACTAAAATGGTGGTTTTTAAAATGGAGGAATCAAAATCAAGAAAAAAGCTAAATGGGGAGACCAAAGTTGCAATTAAGCCTAAAACTTAATATTGTTGTATTAGTTAATATAGGGAAAGACCATCTATTAGGTAGTATAACTAATCTCACGTCATTAACTCAAATATGATCTCACATGAGAGAAACATGTTAGAGTATTGATACTTGAGAAGATGGACTTATTTCTATCAATGGTTCTACATGAGGATAAGGATGGTGAAATCTAACTCCAACAAGTTTTCTCATTGTTAACATTGAAATCTCAATTTATTTTCTGTCATTTCATTTTCACAAACAAACAATTCTAAACAACCATTTGCTTAGAATCATAGAAACTGTTAAACGATTTTTAAAGCACAACAATTCCACGTGGATACGATAACTTACGTACTTGCTTTTTCATTTCAACAAAAGTCAGTCGCAGAAAATACACGAGATCACCATTGATTTACCTAGAAATCATTTTCACGCCCAAAAAATACTTTTCTCTACCTTTTTCACAGTTTTCTTAACATCATTAAAGATGACACCAATACAGGATCTTCAAATAAACCAGACAACAGCGTGTTAGATCGTAGCAAAATCAGCCATTGACTTAGCCCTACCACCTAAAGAGAGGAAAAACTTAAAAAGAAGCCTATAATCACTAGGAAAAACAATTGACAACCCAACCATTAGAAGATCATATACCACACAAACAAATCTAAATTACAAATAACGAAAAGATAAGAGACCGACTCAACCAAATCCCTGCACAAGGGTTAAGAGATTCCAATAGAATCAACAATCACCCATTTTAAATAGGTTCTCTTTAGAAGGAATTCTATCTTGCAAAACTTGTCAAGTGAAGATAAAAACCTTAAGAGGGGTCCATTTGATACAAATAGAGGAATGGTCAAGTTCTTAACCATATGAAAGGGCATAGAAGAGATAAAAGTATCCATATGAACATGGCAAGTAAAGGTAATCGAGAAATTACCAACTCCAGTATGATTCCAATTCCACTTATCTCTATACTAACAGAGAGTAATGTCTCGAAGCATAAAGAAAAGGTTATCAATCACAAGTACATCATAGAGAAAGCAGGATATCCTCCACCTAATATCCCAAAACATATCCCTGTTTTCCACTAGCCAAATCTCTCTCACCAACCTAATAGGTTGGATAGATTTATAAAACAAACAAGAAAACTTGTTCTTTAAGGGCATCCTAACAAAGGATCCTTCCAAAATTAAGTATAGAGGCCTAATCCCACTTTGTTTAGGATACCATCAATAAAATCAATCGCCTTCATTGGACCCAAGAATAAACACATATTTCCACCAAGAAGAAGCATATAGAAACCTGAAATCCCCCCCCCCCCCTTTAAAGAGAGGAAACAACTAAAACACCATACATAAGTATAAGAATATCACACCAAAGATCTGAAACACCTGTAAGAAACTTCTATCTTCATCTATCTAAAAGGTCTAGATTAACCAATCGAAGGTCTCTAAGACCTAAATCTCTTTTACTCTTAGGTTTACAAACATCATCCAACTTGATATGGGAAATTATAGATTCTACTTTCATCCCTCCTCAAAAAAACCTTATTTGTAACATAACAAGCTTCTTCCAAATATTTATAAACATCTTAAAAAAAGATAATAAGAATATGAGAACAACATTAAGGACAAAATTAAAAATAATCACTCGTTCATTCAGACTAACATATCTATGCTTCTAATAAAGAAACATCATGGTTAACAAATTGACTAAAGGCGCAAATAAATAAGAAAATGTTAGAAAAGATGTTTTAAAGTCCTAAAATCTAAAATGTTAGAAATTAATTTTTTTTTGCGTATTTTTTGTAAAAAGTAATTTAAGTTAATAATTAATAAAAACCTAATTATTCTAATTAACTTTACAAATTAAAAAAATAAGACTTAAAATCTAATTAAATGAAAAAATTTAATTAAGAAAACCTAAAAGACTATTTTTTGATTTTATGTAATATTCTGATTTTTATATATTTTGATTTTAATTGTAAAAAAGAAATAAATTAGTGGAAATGGAGTTTCAAAGAGAGAATCCGATCGTGCCATAGCCATGGTAACTTATCATCCCTGCGTTAAAGCTTTCATTTTTTTATTCAAACTTGTTCTAAACACCATGATGAACTCATATGTGCACAAGAAATTAGTAAAATATGTATAGATTAAAATATCCGAATTCAAGAAAATTACCAAAACCAGTGGACTTGTATAAGCTATTCCATACGTGAATAAATTTATTTATAGACTTGGTGAGATTCTTAGGAGCTTCAGGAACATGATTTGAGGCTTAGTTTTGATTGAGAGTGACTGGATCGTGTGATATGAATTTTCACTTTTTTTGAGAATTTTGAGAGATTTTTGAAATGGTTCTTGAGGCATCAGCTCGTGTGTTTTACACTTGAGTGTTGCATGTATTTATAGAGGAATGAAATGGATCAAAACAAGGCAATGATCTTGTATCATCATGTCACAATTCATTGCAAAGAAAACACATTGAAATCTTTCCAAAATTGTTTTAAAAACATTCCAAACTTGAAGATTCTTGTTTCTAACATGTTTTCACGGTTTTGGCAAGCTCTTATGAGGTCTTGAGACTTTTAGAAGATATCCAAATGAATCCTAAACACCCTTTGGTCCATCAACTCATATTTTATTTGATTTATTTTGACTTAATTTAAATAAAATCAAAATAAATAAAATATAAAATAAAAGTAATGTATAAATGGATTTAGAGGTCCTCTAACATGTTATAAACATGTTTAAACCTCAAAAGTTAGGCCCATTAGTCCAAAAGTTCAAGATTTCTCAAATGAAGTTTCA